TTTATTATTAAAATAAATACGTTGTTAACTAAACAATAGCATTCCGATTATGCAACAATGATACTGTAATTGGTTAGAGGAATTCACTGTTAATCTAAAATTTAGTTGAGAATGTCATGTAATCTAATCTCTCTCAGTATTACAGTAGAAAAACTGGCTTCATTTTGATCACTGGAATCACAGCAAAATAGAAAACCTCCTCAGAGTGATAAATCGTATTGCTCTTTTGTTTATCATCTTTAGTGGAAGATATTTAATGCATATCAACTCACATTTTTCCTCATTATTATCTTTATTCTTCTTAAATTACTTATATTAGTACATCTAAAGCTCCCTTCCAATTTGGTATCTATCTTGGAATTCATGGGTATCTCAAAGCCTCCCGTTTGCCTTAATGTTAATTGAGAAAGTAGGTGTTTACACTGATTTCCTCATGTTAAAGCACAAGCTATGATTGAAGCAATAAACCCAGAGCCTCTCTATATTCATTTATCCATCAAAAAAAAATCTTGCCCTTAGTTTCATTTATTTTTAGTGTGGAGTGAGTTTCCACATTAGAATGCTCATTAATATTTAATACCTTATGGAAATATATTTGTTTAAAGTGATCATGCATTTCTGTTTTCATTGTTGCAAAATGTTTACCAGTTTATGGCATATAATATTATTTATGTTTCCATATTTGGGCTGTCAGAAATTCTCCCAATCAGACATCATCATAAACAACCACCTTGATGTCACAATTATCTCATTTGTCTGGGTGGTAGCAAGGGGCAGGAGTTAGAATCGTTCACACATTACTGTAGCCTAAAATTGGTAGATTCCCTAAGGTGGTTCAAGAGGAATTCATCCTAGCGTCCTCCTTTCTAGAAAAACACTAGGTTGTTCTGATAAATGTGAAATTGCCTCAAATTCAGATCTACAGGAATCATTTTGCATCTTACCCACAAACAAACAAACAAACAAGCAAATGAGGGTAACATGAAAACGCCTCACCTGTTTTCATTAAGCTGGTTTATGTAGTATTTCCTCATTAAAGAATAACATTACAACATTCCGAAGTTGACTGTTTAGTTTCCTGGGTTCCTCTTGTTGAAACTCTTAGAAAGAAAAAGGGAATGAACATTTGTTAGCATCTGCATTGTGCTCACAGTGTGCTAGGTGCATTGGATCATATGATGAGAGGCAGTGTAGCAAGGTGATTGAGATCAGTCTTGACTTTGTACCCTTCCTTTCACTTACACTTTCAAGTGTGACTGTCTTAGTTAAATTTCTCTATGCTTCACTTTTCTCTTGGGTAGAATGAGGGAAATCCTAGAATCTACCTCTTAGGGTTGCTGTGAGGGATAAACTAAGTTAGGGGTCGGCAAACTTTTGAGACGGAAGAGCCGCCAGGGGTCAGCAAACTGTGGCTCGTGAGCCACATGTGGCTCTCTTTGGGTACATACATGTGGCTCTGAAGTAAAATTGAAAATGAAAATAAAACTATCATAGTGTCATTTATAAAATTTTTAAAGGATATTATTCACATAATGGTGATTATATGAAAATATATTTATGGCTCTCAAATAACTTTTAAATTGTTGTGAGGGACAGGATTGGCTCTTTAGGGGTCGGCAAACATTTGAGATGGAAAGTACCCAAAGAGCCGCATGTGGCTCACGAGCCGCAGTTTGCCAACCCTGAACTAAGTTAATGGAAGTAAAGCACTTGGATCTCTGTTTGGTATGGAGTAGGCATTCCACATTACAGATTGGCATTCTCCTCATCAAATCTTATAAAATGAAGTGCTGTTATCCCCCGTTTAACTGATGAGGAAACTAGCACTCGGAGAATCAAAGCAATTTATGTGGAAACAACATAGGAGGTCATACTTTAAAATAAAGAGCTTTGGTCACTAAATTATATTTTTATATTTTTTCATTCTACGCACATATTGATAGTTTCCTTCTGCATATTTACTTGAGAGAGAGAGAGAGAGAGAGAGAGAAGAGAGAATCTTGTGACTCTCCATGTTCCTTAGGCTAGATACAGTAGTTACTTTAAATCTGATAACTACAAAGGAGATTACTGCAACACATACTCTAGTCCCTCCATTTAGATAGTTTGTGTGTATGTGTGTGTTTGTGTAAGGCGTGGGCACAAGGACTTGTTTAAAACTTAGGCATGAAGAATAAAAATGTTAACATGTCTTTGAATCAGAAAACCACAAAAGACAGCCAGAGGAAACTCATGATCCAGTCGAAACACTATGTAGCCTCAGATAATATTAAAATTCGCAAATGCAAAATTAAATCAACTAGGTAATTGTTCAGGTCATGTGCACTAGAGGCAATTAATGTGTTTTTTAGGAGTCTTGGTAAAAGGCCAGGCTTTGACTCTTTAGAGAGCCTCTAGAAATCTGCCAACACCTTAAGATTCACTGATAAATATACCCACAGTATTTTAAGGGCATCATGGAACCCATTTAGATTCAATACTTAAAAATGGGCTGTCCAGCTATTCACAATAGCCAAGACATTGAAACAACAACTGAAATGCCCATCAGTAGATGACTGGATTAAGAAACTGTGGTGCATTTATACAATGGAGTATTACTCAGTCACAAAGAAGAATGAAATCTTACCATTTGCAACAATATGGATGGACCTAGAGAATATTATGCTAAGTGAAATAAGTCAGTCAGAGAAAGACAAATACCATATGATCTCACTTATATGTGCAATCTAAAGAACTGAATAAATGAGCAAACCAAAGAGAAATAGCCTCAGAGATATAGAGGAAAAACTGATGGTTACTAGTTGGAGGGAGATGGGAATGAGGGAGAAGGTGAGGAGATTAGAAGGCACAAATTAGTAGTCACAGTATTGCCACATGGATATGAAAGACAGCTTGGGGAATATAATCAACAATGTTGTAAAGATTATGTAGGGGGCTAGATGGGCACTTGTCTTAGTAGAGAGACCACTTCATAGACAGTGTAGATGTCTGACCACTGCACTGTATGCTTGAAGCAGAAAAATACTGAATGTTAAGTATAATTTAGTTTATTAAAATGACTCTCTCTCTTTCTCTCTCTCTCTCTCTCTCTCTCTCTGGAGTATGGCATAGGGAATAGTGTCAATGTAATTGTAGCAGCTATGTACAATGTCAGAGGGGTGATAGATTGGGGTTGGTGTGTTATCACTTTGTGAGGGGAGAAATGCTTATTACATTGTTTTGTACACTCGAAACTAATAAAAAAATGGGCTGTCTATTCCATTTACTTTTGCTATAAGTTTTACCTCAATACTAGACATATGTGGGCATAGCATATGTGCTGTTTGCTCTAGAACCTATTGATAAATGGTAGGAAAATCATAGAAGCCCCTGAATTAGTAGACTAGGTTTTGGTCCAAGTTCACTTCATTACCTCAAACCTTACATAAGTTATTTTTCTGAGACTTAGCTTTACATTATTTAAAGTTTCATTTTGTTTTAAAATCATGTTAACAGTTCTTATTTCATTACCTTCTCCAGGAAATCCTGTGGAATAACTTGGCAATCACTAGTATCCCTATGTTACAGCCAAGAAATATGGATTTCAGAGAAATGAGTTCCATTTGGTCAAACAGAAGAGACTGAGCTTGGAACTAGTAAAAATAGCTAGTATTTACTCAACACAATTATTAATATTTTATGTCCATTTATTTAATCTTCACAACAAACAGATGAAGAGGGAGTTATTAATATATGCATTTTACAGATGAGGTAACTGAGCATCTTCAGGTTAAGTATCTTACCCAAAGTCACAGCTAAACATGGCTGAGACGGAATTCAACCCCAAACCGATTCTAGTTCCCACATATTTAAGCACTTGACCACACTAACTCTCTGAATGCAATAAAAATAATAAAACTTGTGGTTCATGCCTTCACATTATTTAGACTCATGCAAAAGTAGTGAAAATATAAATAGGCTTATCATAGGAATGGGTTGTAGTTTGTTTTGTTTTGTTTTGAAGGAAATGACTATTGCATTTGGAATATATAGTATTTCAGTCTTCCTGAGTTTATGTAGTTCTTACAGTCTGGCTTTATAAGGCCTAGAGATAGAAAACAATCTTACCTTATAGCATTTGAAGCTGAAGCTATTAGGTTTGTGGCATTGAAATAAATATGTCTGTTGTTTCTGCTCTTAAACTAACCCAGGTAAGGAATATAATAGGGTTAGGAATTTAAATGTCCATAGGACTTAAACTACAATTTAAAGCCACACACTTTGGACTTGTCTACCATGTATTCTGCAAGCTTCCTGAGAGTCACCAAACCCAGCAATGCCTACTGGGCATAACCAGTGATATGGTTAAAGCCGGGCACAATTTCACTCCCTCCAGGCTTTACTATCTGCAGAAGAAAGGAGGAGTCAGAGAGAGGAACTAAACCAGTACAAAACTTGATTCAGCTTAGAATGTCCATGGCCCCCGCAGATCACGGAAAGCTGGGGGGTGATGAGTTGCCGCCACAAAATGCACCTTGTTAGACAGACTTGAGTCTGGTTTCCAAGTTAGTTGGTGTGTTAGCCTAGCGGGTCCCTCTCACATCCTTTTGGCACAGCCTAGGCAGAGTGTGAAGGTTTGAAGTGATCACTCACTCCAGGGCCAAGTAAGGGGTGGGGCAGGAACGTTGGCTCTGGGGGAATGCCAGCGACTGAGTGACTCTTGCCTGTCCCTGTATTCCTCGAAGAGCTGCAGCTTTTCAAGGGTTCCAAGCAGGATACCACAGTGCACAAGTAAAGCCTGAGCTCATCTTCATCACCGACTCCTTGTCCCCTTTCTTTGGACTGCCCAGCCCTTCCCTGGCACCTTCTTAGGTACCCTTGTCCAATCACGACTAAACCCCGAAGTGAAATCTCCATACAGCTTTCCGTGGGCCTGGGCATGCTCAGTAGGCTACTTGGTTATCTGGTGTCCTCTCTCTCTTTTCCTTTCTCTCTCTCTCTCTCGCTCGCTCGCTCGCTCGCTCGCTCGCTCGCTCGCTCACTCTCTTTTTTCTCTCTCAGGGTGGGTGGTGACAAATTAGAAGCGCTTGCGGAAGGTCTCCGCCCCCCGGATCGGGCTTCCCCTGCAAGGGGATGAAGCAAAGGTAGAAACACCTTGCTCCGCAGCATCCTGACCTGGAGCTGGAGGGGCTGCGCCCGCAGGCCAACCCCACCAGTATCCCACCCTGAGGCCCGCCCGCCGCTCTCCATGGTACTGCGGAGAGCTCAGCTCCGCCCTTCTCTTTCAGAAGGACAGCACCCCGCGTCACGTAACCCAGCCTTCTCGGGCTCCACCGTCGCCTCCTCCTTCCAAGCCCTTTTCCTCTCCTGCTCCTCCTTCTGCTCCCCTCCGTTGCCTGTTCTTCCCTCCCGCACTCCTGGAGATAGACGCTCAAGCCTGACGCCTCTGAAAAGGCAGCGGCAGTCGCCTTATCCACAGCCCTCAGGAAATTTGCTTTGACCGACGCATGCTTCAGTCTCTGGCTCGAGCTAAGGGGAATAACCGGGCAGGTAAAGAAGCTCAATTTGGGTTGGGGGGAGGGGATGGGGCGAGGCAAGCTGGAGAAGGATATCTTTCCCCGTTGTAACTGAGCCAGGATCTGCCACAAATGCACAGGGAAGGCTGGGTGGTGGGAGGGTGGAGGAGTATAGATCTTGGTTGTTTTGCATGCAGCTTTTTAAATAGATGGCAAAATGAGATGGTGGAACTGGGGTAGTAACTTAAAGGCTGAATGCAGTGATTTATTAGCAAAAGAAAGAACACAGGCAAGTTAGAAACAAAAAGCAATAAAACATATGTGTATCTACATCTTTCTTCCCCTTCCCCATCAGCCGCATGCTGTGCCTATCTTTAATTTGTGTAGTAGGCTCCAAGAAACTGCACTGGTATCAGAGATGGAGCTTAGAGACTGGGCGGGAAAGCCAGGGAGAATTTTGGGTGTGCACTGGTATTGCTGGACTTTGTATAAGACAGGAGGAAAAGATAGGCACTTCTAAAAATGCTCTCCGAATTTTCAGGTGCTTTATGATGGTTTATATTGAAGGGTGTTTGGAAAGGTGTCTGTGCATGTGTGTATATGTGTGTGATACCACAAACATATGAAAATAAATGCAACTGCAGCTGATGAGCATACTGTATCGATCCTTTCAGTGGCTTGGGAATGAATTTGATTCTAGAAATGAAAGAAAAGATTAATGAGGCTGTTAGTGTGCTTTTGAATTAGAGCGCTTCTTCCTTTGGCTGCAGTAAGGTTTTCAGATCCTTTTATTTCATCCTCTAATTTGTGAACTCGCCAGGTTTTTCCGGCACCTAGAGAGAATCCTCTTTCTCCATATAAATACAGATCCTCTCTCACACACAATGAGCTTCCTCTAAGAACTGGGAGAGTCAGTTGACCTCCCCTGTGGTTAAGAATATATATGTGTATTTCCCCCTTCTCCTCCATTCCTTAAAAAATTCCTCTGCGTTAGTGGAGGGAGGCCAGAGAGAGGTGTAAAGAAAGGTTTTGTGATCTCTGTAATATTATTTAATAAAATAATTGGGTTCAACCGAGTAACACATAAAAATGATTTTCTAACAAATGAGCTTGTGGATGGTTTCAAAGCACTATTCTTGATCTTGAAATCCCAGGCTTATTTTGCAAATGACTAAGAATTTGGCAGAATCCTGAGTGCACTTTAAAAAGAAATTAGAGTACATTGAATAATATGCTATCTTAGAATGATTTTTAAGAGCACCGTTCTTTGGGCTTGGCACAGGAGCAGACAAGATATGGCTGGTGACTGCTGATGGTGTGGAATGTATCAGCCATAATAAATAAGCAACTGAGATTTTTATTCCCTTTTGCTAGTGGGCAGCGTGTGTGTGTGTGTGTGTGTGTGTGTGTGTGTGTGTGTGTGTGTGTGGTGTTGAAAGAGAACCAGTCATCAATTTCTTCTGGGGAGGAACTTGAAGTGGGATCCCCTAGCTTGGTGGCTCTCAGCTGACACCTGTAGGGATTGCTCTGTACTGAAGAGAAATGCTCTCCGCTTCCTCCACGGAGGAGCAGCAGCACAATGCGGTGCCATAAATTACTGCTAGTTTCAGCTTGTAGGGAAAAAAGTGTTAATTGGATAGTGAGCTTCTGTGTCCAGGCAGTAAATGCATGTGTGTGCGTGCGTGCGTGTGTGTGTGTGTGTGTGTGTGTGTGTGTGTGTGTTGTGTTGGGAGGAGGGAAATACATGTGTTTGCTTGACAGGACCAGATGATACAGTTGTGGGGTTTTTTTGGTCAAAATTTGAGAGTAATATTTTTAGGTGAAAAAATGACTTAAAAAGAACTCACTATTTACGATCTCTGTACCGTTTCAAGAGCCTGTCAGATTAGAGTTCAATCAAGATAGGTGATTTAATAGTACAGTGAGTGATTCAAATACCTGATTTTAAAATCTAGCATCCTGGAGCTATAGCAGCTAAGGTAACACACATGCCAACTGCTGTTCTGACCACACAAATTCTAAGAGCTGACAGCCAGAGAAGGACTTGAGAGGAGTTAAGATCACTATGCTGTTAGGCAAAATATTAAATACTTTATTCATCTGTAGAGGAGTTAATAATATGGTAATTGAGACACAAATGCTGCTATAAGTAGATATCTGACTCCTGTTAGATATTTTGTCCTATAACAGATTATTCCTTTAATCAAAAGGAGGAAAATACTTATTTGAAATTTTAGAAAAGACTCCCAAGCAACCATGAATATTCCTTTTCTTTTTGACAAAGATAAAATGGTAGGAATGATATACAAATCCAAGCCTCCAGCTTCCAGTGGACAGTTTGATCTGCTTTGCCCGTTTTAAAACTGGCTATTAACTGAGATTTGAACAGATTGCATTTTTATTGTAAATACATGTAACCAGTGCACAATATAAGCTGAAGCCCTTAGAAGGGCCTTTTTTCCCCTCTTCATTTATTTTAAAAATTTAACTTTCTCAGAAAAACTCAAAGATAACCATAACCAAATCTCTATGAAAACCTGGGAGGGTTACCTATTAAGAGTTATAATAAACTACAAAGGTGCAATGGATGATTATAATAATGTGATATTAACTGTTAGGAGATATTAGGTCTTACTTGTAGGTCGGGACAAATAAGCTCCTTTCAATAAGGTTAATTCTGGCTTACTACTAACAACACTGGTTATACACCTGGTTTTTGAGCTGAATAATGATTTAGATGACACTATAAATAATTTCAGAACTTAATTTTTATTTGAATTCTCTGCAGATTTCTGGGTCCTTATTTAAAGAAAGAAAACCGAAATGCATCACCAACCCACAACCCTTTGATATGCTGGCATGTTAGCCTGGCCTTGCAGAGGTGGAGAAAAATAAAGAGTAGCTGTTATGATTCCCACATCTAACAGCTGCTGGCTCTTTCACAGCTTCTGGGTTTGAACCCCACCTCTGGGGAGGGAAAAAGAAAAGTGCACTCCAGCCCGTGAGGCCATGCACAAGGAGTTCTGCTTTGGCTACAGTGATGCTAAAGTCCATGATATGACAGAAGAAGCAGGCCTTTGAAACTACTCTGGGGGTGACAAGTGGTGCCCTCAAGAGGCAAGGAGCCCTTTTCTCCCTTCTGCTTGGGACACTACATCTGGAGGAGAAACCCTTGCATTCACAAGCTTCCAAGGATTCTGGTTCATTGCTGGTTCCTTGTACTTCCCTGAGAAGTGTCGACTTCCTACCTGACTCTTAACTGATTTCCTGTTGCTTGGTACCAGTGATGCTACCTGGCAGATGATGATATTTGAGGAGTGCAACATCTGTTGACACCACCAATGCCCTTCAACTAGTTCCTCGGACTCCAATGGATGAGTGCTTTACCCTGACCTTCTGTTGACGCCTTTTCCAGAACGTTGCCTCCAAAGTGTATCCTCCCTTTGGTCTGGACGTTCTGTGGCTGCCCAGCACCACTGGGGTCTGCGTGTGCCAGCTGGGAGGAGACTATAGGGAGAGAGGGAGGGGTTGCTGGAAGAAGAAGAAGAAAAAAAGAGCTAGATAAAGGAGGGTGCCTCCCTCCCACCGCTGCCCACCCCCCTTACCCTCCTTACTCTCGGACCCTTATTTCGGCATCACGGTGTCCAGGACCATTTTGACCCTGTCGGCCCCGGCACCCCCCCGCCGCACCCCAGCCCCGAGCATGGGGACGGCGCTTCTCCAGCGCGGGGGCTGCTTTCTCCTGTGCCTCTCGCTGCTGCTCCTGGGCTGCTGGGCCGAGCTGGGCAGCGGGCTGGAGTTCCCGGGCGCGGAGGGCCAGTGGACGCGGTTCCCCAAGTGGAACGCCTGCTGCGAGAGCGAAATGAGCTTCCAGCTGAAGACGCGCAGCGCCCGCGGCCTCGTGCTCTACTTCGACGACGAGGGCTTCTGCGACTTCCTGGAGCTCATCCTGACCCGGGGCGGCCGCCTGCAGCTCAGCTTCTCCATCTTCTGCGCCGAGCCGGCCACGCTGCTGGCGGACACGCCGGTCAACGACGGCGCGTGGCACAACGTGCGCATCCGCCGGCAGTTCCGCAACACCACGCTCTTCATCGACCAGGTGGAGGCCAAGTGGGTGGAGGTCAAGTCCAAGCGGAGGGACATGACGGTGTTCAGCGGCCTCTTCGTCGGGGGGCTGCCCCCCGAACTGCGCGCCGCGGCGCTCAAGCTCACGCTGGCCTCGGTGAGGGAGCGAGAGCCCTTCAAAGGGTGGATCCGGGACGTGAGGGTCAACGCCTCCCAGGCCCTGCCCGTGGACAGCGGCGAGGTGAAGCTGGACGACGAGCCGCCCAACAGCGGCGGCGGCAGCCCGTGCGAGGCGGGCGAGGAGGGCGAGGGCGGCGTGTGCCTCAACGGAGGCGTGTGCTCCGTGGTGGATGACCAGGCCGTGTGCGACTGCTCACGAACCGGCTTCCGCGGCAAGGACTGCAGCCAAGGTAAGGCCCAACGCCTGACCCACCGCCCCGGGGCCTCGGCCTGGGCAGGGCGAGGGGGGGCAGAGGAAGGCAGGCGGGACCGGGCTGGTGCATGGGGTTTCCCTTCTCCGCACAGCCTTTCAGGGAGTTTCCAGGTGCAGACCTGTTTCTGGCCTCTCGGCTTCATCACGTCCTGCAGCTCCTCCCTTGGCATCCTCGTAATGGTTGAGGAGCCCCATTTCCAGGTTTAGTTTCCTCCTGGGAGCCCTTGCTACCCACCCTACTTCCATCCAAGTGGCAAGTAGAATGGCCTGTCCTCTTCGTTCCTTGGGTTCTTGGCCAGGCTGCCCCCTGTGTTCATTGGGCCATGGCCCACCTGGGTATCCGCTGTGCTTTCCTTTGCCACCTCTAAGTCCGTAAGACACAGATTTCCCCTCCCCCATCCGATGCAAACAAGTATCTAGAAGACTGGGCACACATTTGGTGAAGAACGAAGCGCAGGAGAGGTTCACCATGGTTGAGAATGCCCATGCACTTACTCTGGGTAAAGGACAAGGGGATTCCCAGGCACTGCTGTGCCTTTTCCGAGTAAAGTGTGAAGTCCTGCCCCTGGTTGTGGAAAAAGAGGGCGACTGTGCAGGTGAAGATTGTCTTGATTGGAAGGAGGGTTCTTGGAATTACCGTTAGTTTCTATGGTTATGTTCAACTCCACCATTTGTCAATTTAAGTAAAATTGTGTGATTTTTGTGGTTTCTTGAAGTGGGAGACAGGTCAGCCAATGTTTAGAAATGTTAGAGATTAAATAGCATTTCTCAATTAGCAGATGCTTTGGGAAGATAAATAGTAGAGAAATTTAGATGTTGCTGGACTGGGAAGCTTCAGAAGGCTAATAAACATGGGATGCATATGAAGGCTTGCAAGAGATTATCTGAGGATATTCAGCTAATGGTATTTATCTGAGTAGTGGAAGCCAAGCTGTAATTTCTGTTTATAGGAATTAAAAAAAAATGAGATCTAAGTTTTATTTTCTCCCTTTTATAAGTAAAATTCAGTCATTGATGTGTTTCTCCAATGTTACTCATGACAGTGATCAAGGAAAAACCTTGTTGTACAAATATAGAAAAGCCTATGAATAGAAAATGAGTGCTATGACAACAATGAAACATGGATGTGTCTGTGCTTGAGCAGGAGAGAAGATGTCAGGGTTTAAAGTAGATAGCGTATGGGTCAAATCAAAGCAATCAACTCATGGGTAAATGGCATTCAATGGCTCAGATTTAAAAAGGTGAATTATTAAATCTGATTTTGAAAGCTCTAGGGACTAAACTGTATGTATGGCTGTATATCATTGTAAAATATCTTCTGGGGTTTTTTGCTGACATTGCTAAAGGGAACTAGCCCTTGTAAATCTTATTAGACTTGGCAGTTCTCTCTCACCTGAATTTAAGAGAAATGAAGCCTTGATACAGTTTATAATTGTTGAAACACCAAAGGGACATAAGTAGAAAAAGCCTGGTCATTAAGAGAGTTCATAGATTTATAGAAATAAAGGGTTATTTTGTTGCTCTCTGTCTTCATGAAGGTTTTTGTTTTCATTGTATTTTGGCTTAAATAATTATAGAAGACTGTTTATTCCATGGCCTACACTGCACTTCAGCTTGGCCAGTAAATTTCCATGGATTTTGCATGAAGCTTTACAGTTACGTTTTACATAAATAGAACAGTACATGTTTCTCTCTACCAAATCAAAATTAATTCTAAATCATGAATAAGATAGCTATAGATGGTGATATGCTGTAGTATAATTTGAAGTTGCATATATCTACACTGATTAATAGAAATGAATAAAAAATGAACACTATTTAATGGCAAAAAATGCTCTAAGTATCCCAATGTCACTTTATAATATAGAGCAGGAAATTTAATGAAAGACACATGAACTATAACTTCCTTCCTTAAAGTAGGAAACAAATATGGCACAATGACAGCTTGTTCTGTGTGGGAGGGTGTTTTAAAATGAAAATTAATTTTTCCATGCATTTTTGACATAGGGATCCTAGGATCGTGCATAATGTGGGGAAGTTAAGAGTGGAGAAAGCGTGGAAAAAGCAATATATTGAAGAGACGCAGAGTTAGATGTCTCTGAAATGAATTTTGTTTTTCAAGTGGAGAGTTCTTTCCATAAGATGAAGAATTTGGTATTACCAAGATGCATAATTGAATAGCGTAGTACCTGATGCTTAAGGTAATTCAGCCCAGAAAAGAAAATCTGTCAGGATTTGTTCTGGAGCATTGATTCATTTTGAATATTTGAGCTTTCAGCTGAATGCAAAGATCACCACTAGTCATGAAAAGAAAACAAAAGCCTGGATTCCTTTGATTATCACACAAATAAGAGATGGAGTAATAAAGGCAGAGTCTTTCTTCCCAGAAGGACTGGCTCCATTTTGATCATTTTCCCTGTTTCATGTGTGTCAAGTGACTATTAAATAATTAATTGAGAATGGATGCCTCTCCCCACACCAATCATCTATTGATGGCTAGGGAGAGATGATTTCTGTTCAGATGAAGTATAAACAAAGCCCTGCCTCTAGCCAGCATTTACACCGATTGCCACATTCTTCCTAAAAACTGATTTAAAAGCAAATCAACATTCATTAGAGAAAATTTAGAAAAAAAATGAACAGAAAAACATTAAACAAAATTCCAAAGGTATTTGGTGCCAGAAACATTTTTTTTAATTTAATGAAAATGTCTAATATTATTTTAGCTACCTTCATATTCAAAATACCATGAAAACTACTAAAAAGACTAAAAAGACAGACTCTTCTCTGCCCTCCCCCCACACCTAGAATCTCTTGAAACAACCTAGGCACCTATGAATTTCTACAATATTTTTATTTAAATGAGTTCACTTTCATCCTTCCTGCATTTATTCAGGTCTAGCAAATTTTGCTTATTTATTTATGTAGTAATGGAAAGAGGACAGAAGAAAGGTTATATGTCAGGAATAGGTTGGCAGCATAGCCTGGGTAACATTGCAGACACTGGTGCTCTTGAGCCCTGTTACCATGTCTGCTGAATAAGATTTCAAGTTTATTAGGGCTGGTATTAGGGTTTACTAGGGTTCAGGCATTATTCAAGAGAAATGTATGTCTGATGGAACAGAACTAACTTACGCATCACTTATGTTCTTTGGCCATGAGAGTCAGCCTCAGAACTCAACTATCCAAGGGTGCCATCCTTCCTGAATTATGGATGCTTATGGGGTACATATCTTTTTCAATGAAACATACTCATATAAGTGCCCTGGGGCCATTATCATTTAATACGCTTCTACTTAAGAGGACTAACAGTATTGTAGTAGCTTAAAAGAATTAGTGAATTCCATGGCTGTCCAGCTTAAAAATGAGAATAAGAGGCTGTTTAACGAGAAATTCAGTTTTCCTTTTTATGATTTCCAGGTTCAGGTTTCATGCATTTCAGGGTCATTCATATTAAAATTTCCTACTAGACACTGAGCGTCACTTTTCTTTCTCTGTTTAAATGTCCATAAACACATATGGCTTGTGATAGGGGATTGCTTGATATTACTACACACTACAGTGTGATAGATGTTAATTAATAAACCCCCTGCTTCCTGTGACTTTACTAATGTGACCAGATAGACAACCATATTCACTCATGCGTTTATTCATTCATTTCTTTAATCAACAAATATTGAGTACTTTCTGTGTGTCTGAGTACTAGGCTCAGGCAATAAAATAGTAAACTCTCAAAAGTAGTTCCTACCTTCACAGACCTCACCTACTGGTGAGGAGGCACAATAAGTAAAAAAAAAAAGTGAATAAGTAGAAACAAAATAGCTGTATGCGTTTTTAGACGATGGATACATTGTACTATGGCAACTTGAAGTGGTGTGAACTGACCTAATCAAAGAAAGTTTTCCTGAAGAATGATGCTTAAACTAAAATCTGAGATGAGAAGGAATTAACTAGGTAAAGGCAGACGAGAAATGTTAGGCACAGCGTGCTGGTGCAGGAGATAGCACAGCACATTCAAGCCATTTAGAGAAGACCCTTGAATATGGAGCTCTTAGAGAAAGGAGCAGGAACAGGTCATGCAGGGCCTTCTAGACCTTGTGTTTTAATCTTTATAGTGAAAGTGGTGGGAAAACAATGGCAGGAATTTAGTATGGAAGGTGGGGTGGAGGATGCCATTATTAAATTTATATTTCAAAAATGTCTCTCTGGCTGTAGTGTAGAAACAGCTTGATTGGGGGCCTGAGAAAAAGAGAAAACATTCTGTTTGTCAGTCAACAGTTGTTAAGCACCCACTATAAACTGTAAACTGAAGTAGGGGACACAGAAAAACAAGATTCTTTCTCTAAAAAAGTTAGAATCTTTGTGAGTTTGCTTATGTATAGAAATCTAAGGCCATTTGTTGTTTGGAACATTTTGGTTCTACCTGTAAAAAGCATTATCTGAACCCTTCATGCAGACTGTCAGATGTTTTCTCACAGATACAGGTTTCTAAAGCCCATTGGCAATGTCATATTATATTATACTCTCAAGTACCTTGCTCAGCATGTCTTCCTTGTGACAATATACATTGGCTGACTGATTCTGGGCTTTCTATATTTTAACCACTACAATAAAGGGAGAAATTACACAGGTACTTAAAATCTTTGTAAGTTAAAACATTTTTAAGTAGTTACCATATAGCTGGGTCGATATTAGACAAAAATGGTTGAGAGATTTTGTTTGAAGTATACCATTGTAGGAAAAGGTGGATGGATCATCTGTGCTGAAAAAGCTTTGAGTGGAATGGAACAATTCATTAATAATTTTGATCTATGAGGTGTGACAATTAAGTTCGCGAACTTGCCACATTGCGCTTACATTGGCAGCGCTGTACAAACAGCTCGGTAAGGTTTCATAACCTTGGGATATCAGTGTCTCACAGCTGTATTTGTGTTGACGTGTGGCGGTGTCTTGCTGAGTGGTGTTCATTATTGTTGC